ATATCAATAAAGAATATTTCGTTTCATAGTTTAAGTAATTTCTTAAATTCACTTCCAAGAATTAATATTTAAAATACAAGAAACCACTATTGCTAATAAATTTATATCAGGCGTTATTTTTGTTAACTACTATTTCGCACTACAAATATTTACGGTTACTTGTGGGCATGCAGGTTGTTACATAGCCGCTACATATTAAATAATAAATAAATATTGCCGGGGCACCATCTTCGTATGGATAAAATATCTTATAACAAGTGACGCTGCTGACTCCGCGGAACGAACACCAAGCCGTATGTACCAGAAGATTCCTGATACCGCACAAGATATGGAATGGTTTTTTTTTCCTAATATTGGGGAAAACATAAAGTTTTATGTGTAGGTTATAAATTTTAATATGTAATTCTCATTATAATATACATATAAGAAAGTTTCGTAGTTTTCCTGGAACCTCTGATTGCCATCCTATATAATCGTTCTTGTGGTCATGCAAGTTATAAAATAAATCATAAATAAGACAAAAGTTGACTTTAAAACGATACATTAAAGTAAAAATTTTAATTAAACAAAAAAAATTATCCTTCAACTCCTTTAAAGTCTGAAAGGCTAATGAACTAAATAATTGATGCTTTCATAATAATATCGACTTAATATTAAGTAATAGTTATTTTCACATTCCATGTCTTTGCTATTAATTTTTAAAAAATAACAGTAAACATAAAAGTTTGATTAAATACCTGTTTTTTTTCTGCTATAATGATTTTAATAAAAAGAAAAAGTCAATGATTGAAAAGGAAGGAGGCAAATGCATTTTGAAAGTCCTTATTTCAAAGGTGAGCTGAATGAATTGAATCACTAATCAAGACCAAGACTCATTAACGTGGAAATTTTTTATGTATAATTTCACAGAAACGATTATTCCGCTTTTTGTAAAATTTACTGGAACGCTAATGAATAGTGCTACCAAAGAACCTATTCTTATTTTAAAATATATATTTTATGTATAACAGAAACCTTTATAATTATTTAACAAAACTCACATTCTGTGAATTTATGTTTAAATTAGCGCCATCTAACGTTCCTTATTAGTACTTTTTAAAATCATATCTGAAGTATCCATAGGATTGTACTTGGAAATAGATATATTTTCACATTGTCAATAGATGGCAGCACTAGTCATTTATTACAAAAATACAGGATTTAGAAGGGCGCTCTTCATAATAAGCAATTTGTATTAATATTACTAGTCTAGCTGAACAAAGTGGAAAATTTTATTATTGTAATTTAATTTTAATGACGTAGTTCAATTCCTTCGTACAAGTCATGTCAAATGTTTATTACTTGCTAAACTCTATTCATGGAATCTCTATAAATCATTACTGTCGTTGTAAATATTAATTACTATAAAAAAAGAGATTAAATAAATAATAGTAAGATTTATTTATTTATTTCGAAATATAAAGCTTACCTACATTACAATAAGTTATTTAGTGAGAGTAATCGATTTAGCAGAAGACTTTCCACAGTTATTTTAACATGGAGTATATGAGTTAGAAATACCTTTAATATATTAATGGAGTATCAAACATACTCTCTAATAAATGAAAAATAAAAAGAAAAATATAAAATGTATGTATGTATAGATAAATGTATGTATGTATAGATAAACTACACCAGAATCTTATTTTACTTATATTATTTTAAGGATTGTTTCTACAAGTACACATAAAATTAAAGATCCCCCTTTTATTTACAAGTAGTAGGTTGTTCTCTTAGCTATAAGCTAAGTAGACTTGTCTATCTACTTTCATTGAAAATTTAAAACTATTTCACACTAGTTCTAGTATAGTAGTAAGTAGTTATAGTATAGTAGTAAAAGTAATAATATAAAATTAATATGAAAATACATAAACAATTTTAACAATGAAGGTAAACTGAACTATTTTTTAGTACATCAGCTATTTATAACTTAACGTCTCATCAAAATCAGTGCAGTCGTTGAGGAGATAAATCGAAACAATCAGACAGACAGAAGAAGAAAAATTACTGAAATATTTTGGTATGTGAAATGTTACCATCCTGAAACGTCATACTTTCGAGGGCATTTATTGTAGGAAAAGTAAGATTTTCTGATAACTTTTCTGATAACTGATAAATATTCCCGACGTTTTGGTTACTTTGCAGCAACCGTGATAATGGACAGACGAGATAACAAAAAAGTAGTTTTATTTAAGTGTATGCAACCATGTTTAGTGAATACCATAAATTTTAATATTACCAACATACACTCCAATTTTATCACGTAATATATACTGATATATTCTACAGGTCGTCTGTCAATGTTATACTGAGATCAATGTTTGCTCGCTCTCAAACCACATAGTGATATCGTAAATCAATTAGCTTTTACTTAAATTTTGTATTGTTATGTCGCCTGGTTTCTGTCGTTCATTAAATTGGACATTGAAATTTATTCTTGCTTCCTATTAATGCACACATATTGGTATTTAAATGAATTAAAACCTGTCTTTGGTGATAAATCCCTACTAATATTATAAATGCGAAAGTAACTCTGTCTGTCTGTTACGCTTTCATGCCTAAACCACTGAACTGATTTTAATGAAATTTGGTACATAGATAGAGTTGACCTTGAGAAAGAACATAGGATAGTTTTATCCCAGACTTTTAAAAGGTTCTCTTGGAAACGCGATATAACCGAACTCCACGCGGGCGAAGCTGCGGGCGGAAAGCTAGTATGATATATATGAAATAACGATTAAGTACCTTCTTTAACGTACTATACAAGGTAAATAAAGAATCAAGAAAATAAAACATAATATTTGCTGTAAATATCACGACTGATTAAGAAATAAAAATATCCCATATGTAGTACTTTGATAAATAAAAAATATTATACATTTATACGATGTTAATGAGTTATTAAATACAATATTTTACTTTTATTACAACTGTACCAAGATTAATGGAATGTGAATCGATACGTTCATATGAACAGTCTCTTTTACATATTAATATATTTCCAATAACCAGCAGAACTCAGTAATAGCTGTATATATTTTTCTGAACCTAGTGGAAAATTCCTTGTTACATCACAAACCTGATATCTTTATGATCAACTGACAAAAAACAGTTACTATTTAAAGTTCCTATCATTAATACAGAACTAAGAATAGTTTTTTCTTTCAACCTGTGAGAAATAAGACATTATACCTGATTTTCTTACAATTAGAAATATATATAAATACATATTTTTATTTAATTTTCATTATAATTTATTATATGTATATTCACATACATATATCTATATTCTATGCATATAACTTATTATATTTAGGAAGGATTCGTTACAACAAAAGCGTGATAATTGATTTGAGAAATATGAATTTTATTATCAATTAATACGAAAAACAAGACATAGAATATATGTTAGAGGTGGCAGAGCCTAGCTGTGGTCAAGTTACTACAGCTCGAACATGGGCTGGCTCGACCGAGGAAGTACCACCCTCTCACAGAAAATCGGCGTGAAGTAGTGTTTAATGGCTGCGTTTCGTCCGGTGAGTGAGAGAGCCGGTTGCCCTTTCCCTTTTCCCACGCTGTCCTGCCCTTTCCTTTCCCTCCCTTTCCCTTTTACTCCCCATTTTCCCCAAACTAGGGCGGCAACACATCTGCATATCTACGTTGCAAATGTCAATGGGCGACGGTAACTACCTCCCATCAAGTAGGCCGTCTGCTCGGTTGCCCCCTTTTCCCATAAAAAAAAATTATGTATATTTCAGCATTTGCATTCTATTTGTTACTCTCTTTTATAAAAGGTCTTTGTGTGACTTTATTTGATTAAGTTTAAATTAATTAAGATTCTTTTTACTAATAGATTCAGGCTCGAATCGACATTTGATAGTACATTTAAAATTCAAAAATTCGTAAGTAATGATGACAATTTTGAGCATGAAATTTGTATTTAAATTATTATTAGCCGATTACTATTAAAATTAAATGAATGAAATCGTTTTTTATATATGTATGTATGTTGTTTATAAGCCAGACATATAAGGTATTGATTAGCGAAATTCACATAAATTATAAATGACTATAATATCAATCGATATAGCATTTAGATTACTACAAAAAAATAATTATAGTTAAAAAAAAGTTACATTTGAAGGATTTTTTTCGTAAAAACCTGTTTAAAACTTATAATATTATTGCCTAAATATTTTGCTACAGTATAAGATGTAATAAATAATAATTTATATTACCTTGAGAGATTCTGATTTTATATAAAATTAAATCAAATTCTGTTAATCTGTTTATAAATGTATATACAAGTACTATCGTTTATGTTTGTCTAGTTACTTACTTTATGTTGGTTAGGGATATCCATAACATATCCACAAGAAAGTATTTATGAAAGCACAGACAGGATTGTTTGAATTTAAGACATATAAATTGTATTTTTGACGAAGAAGAGCAGCTTCATTTAGTAAGCATAAAATTACTCGTACTGTGGTTGTTTTTCATATTAAATTGTTAATTATATTCCCATTTTCAATACGCAAATAAAGTATTTACTGTTTTCATGCGAATGGAAATATTACGTGTTAATTATTACTGAATCGCCCCAATTAAATATAATATGCGGTCAAGCAATAAATCGTTGCGAAGACCTTAGGCTCTAGAACGGGTTTGATTCTGTTCAATACTAGGAAGTATAACCATGTTAAGATTATTCTAGAGTCTAGAAATTATAATTATTACAATCTTAACAGCAAAATATTTATGAATGAATTATAATTATTAATGAATTATTTTACATTTGTTTAATACTGGCCATTTTTGGCTTCCTATATTTTTCGACATGACATTTATGTCAAATGAGAAATAAATTAATAACAAATGTAAGTAATTTAAGTTCAGTTCGAAATTCGCTACACTGCGAATATTTTTACTGTTAAAGAAAATCGATCAAAAGGTTGACCAAAATGAATATCTCAATGATGCAAAATATGGAAGCTGGGGTCCTCCCCAAAAAGCGGCAACTGCCAAAGCTAATGGCTTGTATGACAAAAACTAGTCTAGAAAATCTAAGAAACAGAGCCTTATTTGGCTTAAACGCGTTAGATGCGAAAGGAATAAGGAGGTGAATTAAAACATATATATAAATTACCTTGACCTCGGATCGGGTTTCAATGTCGCTCAAGGCCAACAAAATATTTATCGTTTTAGGCGAAAATTTCCTCTCCACGAATGTCTGATATTAGAACTGAGAGAAGCTGGTTTTTGTGAATCATCAGACTACTTGCAGGATCTTATATATGACAATATCCAGCTTTTAGCTGAAGATGACATTGGTATCGTCGTAGATCTTAGAAAGAGGGAGGATTACTTGGAAGACATCAGCGCTGGTCTCATACGAGCTGAAAAACAAAGGGATAAACGTAATAATTGTATCTTTTCCATCGCCAAATATATTACAAGTAAGTGATAAACAATTTGTTCAATTAGAAAACACGAAGAAAGAAGCTCTGGAGCTGTTGGGTTTGGCGTTGCATTATGCTGAATTAGGAAAAGGTATACTATGGCTGGCAGAGAAGTTTTTTCTTGCGGCTATGGCTGTGTCAAGTCAATTTCTGTTAGATGGAGGTCGACAAAAGGGCTGCTGCAAATACCACTACGCTATATTTTTACTGGATAAATGTAAGTCTTATCTAATAATACATAATTATCAATTTTGACGACGGCTTTTCGATTGTCAGTTACAAAGGGGATTACATTTATGGCCTTATAAATTATTATTAACATATTACATACATTTAGTTTTTTATTAAATTAACATTCATCCCGTCCGCGCGTGATCACTACTACCGTAAATTAAGCGAAAGGTCAGGTAAAATGTAAAATAGTGCAATAAAACGCGACGTATACACTATAATTATTTTCTAAAGTCTATTCGCTAAGATCTTATGTATCATTCATTACATACAATTAATTGTTTTATAATGGTTTTTATGAACATATTTTCAATACTCTTAAGAAATATTAAGCAAAGCAAAACTACTTACATATGTATATAAAATACTTTTTGTTTGTTTTAATACCTTACTGTATTTATAACCAAGTTCCAGGAGCAGATCCTGAAGAGCCATTTCTCATATTAACAGAAGTGAGAGACAGTTCTATTGGAAAAGTGAGTTTATTTTAAATAATATTAATTAATTTTTCGTAATATATGAAGTGCTGTCTCACTTTTATTGATTGTAAATAAAGGATTGGCTCCTGTACGAAGGAGATGACGATGAAAATGAATCGAAGGAGACATTGTTTTCGGCGTCTGCTCTACAACTAAATCGCGTTTTGCTCAGCAAAGCCCGTTCATGTCGAGATACGGATACAGCGAAATCAGAAAGGCTTTCTAGACTTGCTGAACGAAGAGCAAGAGATGGTATATCTATAACATATAATAGATACCTTATGTTCCCTATCAAACAGTTTTTTATGACCATTTTGTTGTTTCTAAAATTGAAGCCGACGATACATTAAAAACAGCGGAAGCAATAATAGAAATTGGTATCAGTCAATTAATGATGAACAATTTAAATAATGCACAGAAGACTATAAACAGAGCTTTTGCCATTTATAAAGAAATGAATGACATTAATGGTCTCTGTGAAACGAGAATGCACCTCGCTGCTGTTATGCAAAGGTAACTGACAAGTGGTTTTGTTGTCTTAAATTATAATAAAATACAGTTTTAGTTCTAATACTTTATACATTTATTTAATTTGAATGAGGGGTATGTGTAACTTATAAATGAAAGGCTGGGCGATCATGAAACTGCTTCTAAATTATTAACCGAAATGGGAGCCATGGCGATGGAAAATGGTTTGAGAAGACATCTTGGACGTGCGTTACATCTTTTAGGAGAACTTCATTTACGAAGGGAGAAACCTGAACTTGGTACTCAGCATTTACGCGAAGCATTCCAATGTTTTATGGGATTGAACTGGAATTATGTATGGTTTATATTGTGTTGATAAAATGTTGAATTATTAAATATGTTTGGCTGAGTAGTTATTCAGGAAATCATTTTCATGCCACTTTTGTGGATCTTTCAAAAATAACTGTAACTTGATATCCACCATGTGATAATACTTTCTTTAAAATCTATTTTCTGTTTTCTATATGTAGATTACCCTTTTACAAACTATAATCAAAGCTGATCACTAGGAATTAAATAGTGTTTTGAAAATATGTTAAAAAAGCTTTTTCTTTGAAGCCTCCGGACCACAAAGGAAGGAGAGATACGATCCAAGCCGGTGATAGTTTAGACATTATATATAAAACTGATAGCAACGAGCCTTATCTAACCGAGGCAGAGCAATCCAGACTCATGATGGCTATATCCGCTGGTAAAAATTATATTTTGTGGAAAGATTAAGCATGTCATATATTTTATCATATAAGTCTATCAAATTAATAAAGATAAACGCCTATAGTCTTATATGAACTGGTTTCATACAATTATTATTAACTAGTTTGTAATGTTAGAAATATATGTATATGTAAATTCTTTGTATTAATTATTTATGTGAATAATATTATAATATTCATTAGAATCATACTGTAATACATACATTACAAGTGTCATTTATCTTTTTAAATTACATATTATATACAATAATTTTGTAACGTACCTTAAATAATGCTTAGATAAATATACGTACCTTAAATAAAGCTTATATCAAGCTGTGGAAAGCTGTTCGTTACAAGCTTTTCAAAATTGTATATGTATTTAAAATTTACACTGTCGAAGTACATTTACCTAAACCAGAAATTAAACTTATGACTATGATATAATTTTTATATTATTTTCAGGACAAGAGATTATGGCGTCTTATTTCAGTTTGTTGAGAGAGGCTAATACATGCACTATAGCGAAATACAAAACTATAGAGTGGAAACTGTCACACGCTAGTTGGTGGCTGCATATGAAGCATCACGATTATATACCCTGCATATGTCCAAAACACAACAGAACACCATTGGATGTTATGCGGTGAGATGTTACTGTTTGATAAAGTTATTGTATATTTATTTCTCTAATTGTTTTGCAGCAGTTATTTATAACTTATTATTTTTTAGGTTGAAAATGATGGCAAAAGAAATGAAGGAAGAAAAATCTGAAGCCGACGCGTTATTGGAGAGAATAGCTACCACTGAAGACATAAGAGCTCTACGGAGCAGCATGTAATTTATATAATTATGGAGGAATCATGTTTGTCTTTTAGAAATGTTTTGGGTAATCTATTATAGAATCATAGAACAGTTAAAAAAACAGATTTTATTATTAATTTTATTGTTCATGGTTTCCTAATTTTAGTTCACAATGTAATTAACTATTTACAAAAATATAATTTAATAAACGTCTTAAAAAATATGCAAATTATTATTTTGTTCTTTACCTAAATAACACCCATGAGATGAGTTCTGACACCCTTTTGATAAATCATCGTCATACTTAGAAAATAACTAACAATAATTTATTCAGTACAGATATCACATGAAATAAACATTAAGATCTGTAAAAATGTACAAAATTACAGATTAAAAGTATAGGAATTTGTATTATTTAGTACTTTGTTCAGATTAGGCTTTCACCAGTCTCTTGCGTGGTTCAAGACGAACTTTGAAACCTTCAGCTCGCTTCAGTATAATATCGGCCTGAAGTTTGAATTCTTCCTCTTTAAGGTCCGAAATTACGCGGAAATTCCTCAGGATGGTCGAGAGTATGATCTTCAGCTTCAACATAGCGTATTTACGACCTGAGGAATAGAAATTATGTTAAATCTGGAATAATTGAGAGAATAATGAGTGTCTCTTTTAAGAATTACTACATACCAACACAGCTCCTAGGTCCAGCTGAAAAGGGTACGAACGCGTAGTAATGGCGATTAGCAGAACGTTCAGGAAGGAAGTTGTCAGGGTCGAATTTATCCGGATTGGGGTAAATGTTCTCACTACGGTGAAGTTTGTAAGTACCGATGACGACAGTTGTACCGGCTGGTACTTTCTTACCATTGGAAGCTGTTAAAGTATATCAAAAAAAAGTAAGTATATTTTCTATAAATACCAACATTTTCTTAAAATATACATTATGTATTAATGTATAACCAACTTACGTAGAGTGATGTCCTGATTTAAATGACGAGCAATAATTGGTACTGGTGGGAACATACGAAGTGTTTCCATGAGACACCTTTCCAGATATTTCATTTCCAACGTGTCCTGGAAGGTAGCTGGGCGGTCTGAGTCACCGAATATTTGATCTAATTCTTCAACAACCTTGGCTTGGATATCTTGATGGATACCCATCAACGATAAGAAGAAACTGCTTCCAGCAGCTGTAGTATCGTGACCCTATTGAAGAATTTTCTATGAGATTATACCGAGTAACTATATTTCAAATTAATGTAAACATACAAACCTCAAACATGATAGTATCAACTTGTTCCTTGATTTCGGTATCAGAGATAACAACTCCACCCTGAGCACTTTCTAGGAGCAAGTCTAAGAAAGCAAGACGTTTCTTCTGTCCAACATCTTCGTCAACATCCAAGTCATCCTTGAGACCAGAAGATTGGCCGAAAGATAATCCCTCAACAGACGTTGTCTTTGTTTCTTTGGTTGTAACTTCTGTTTCAAGGATAGATGGCTTCTTTCCGGATTTGAATTCTTCCTTCTTGCGCTTGATAACCTTGCAAAATAATTCTTTATTACAATACAGTTTCAAAATTATAAATAATATATAATTAGTCGAAAATTTTAATTAATACCTTTGTGGTCAAGCCGTGGATTACGCTGAGAAGTTTGTCTTGAACCTTTGCATACTGAGTAAAATTGAAAAGTAAGTCAGGTCTCAACCAGATTTTGGTGTGTCTTAAATGTAAGATGTCACACATTTTCATGACAGCCATGGCGTATTCAAAACCACTGTCTTGAGTGTTCTTGCTGACTCCCATAGCAGTTTCTGCATTAAATAAATAAGAAAGTAGAATATATTCGCCGATATAATTTTTCAATGAATTTAACTTAATTATCCCAAATATTTTTTGGTTAGTTTAACCTTTAACTAATTTTGTAATCACGATTGTCACGTTCCATCATTTCAAAACCTTTGATGGTGATTATTGCCCATTAGTATACGTGTGACTGTGGGGGGTCGCGAGTCAATCTTGTAATACGTAATGAATACTTTTCCTTATGACAAATTGAATCACCGAAACGTGTCCACTTCTATTACTATACACATTAGTGGGGCTCGATTTCGACAGTTTTTATAATAGTACAATAAGTCGGTACTAATTTTGTTAGAAAAATTATCAAGTGTATCAGGTAGGCTGACCGAGAGCACTGGCAAAAAGATTACGTCTCTAAAGTATAGAAATTAAATATCTTGTAATATTATCAAACACTTGAATTTAAAAATATAAGTTGCAGAATTCAATACTTTCAGACACTGAGAACATATTATCAAATTCAATATTTCTTATTTATTAATTATGTCTCATTAATAATTAATAATTTATAAAATATGATTAATCACATATACTCGGAAGAAACTTTTTGCATTTAATAATTAAATTTAAATATATTTTTCACAGCCGAGAATTAACGAGGTCAACCGTTTACGATTATATGGATATAAGGATAACATTGGAAGGTGCTTTAGTAGGAAGCCGTGTGGACTAGTAAATAGCAATTTTGCCTTGTTATACATAAGGTTTGTCATTTAGAGCGTAAACTCAAGTACGTTTGACTGCCCGGCCAAAGCGGTCAGTGTTAATACAAGCAACATAAAACAACATAAAACGTGACTTGATGTGCAAATCGTTTTTATTCTAGAAGCTCTTTCTGTAAACTAAGACTTAGATTTAGTTACTTTTTATTATAACTAATTTGAGTAATATATTCTCAATTTCTTTGTCTATGTAAAACCTTCCACTGACGTCTTTCAAATAATTGTTTTGACCCAATTCCTAATAAAAAATGCACATTTAATTAAATAATTAGGTGGTTTAAATAAAAATAAAATTTTACTGCGTCTCCAACTGAACTGATCTTCCATCAAATAAAAATTTAAGCTATGAATGAGATCTTAGTTTTTCGCGAGTATTCATTAAAATGAAACTAATATTTACTATACGCTTCGTTATCTTTATGATATTATCTGTATGATATTAGTTTCATTTAAGCTTAAACAATAATTTTTGTAAAAGAAAATGAAATTATTAGTACTTTTCTTGATGAGCTTGACATTACTATACATATATTTTTCAACTAGAAGACCTGGCGAACTTCGTATCGCCCTATAAAAAAGAATTATCAATTACGTTTTTTTATTTATATTTTCGGAGTTTACCTGTAAGCCATAAATCTCCGTGTTTTGAAGTGCGACAGAATGTCAAATCTAATGTCAAAAAACACGTTTATATGAGAAATAGAAAAGGGCTGGTTTTATGGTTTTCCCAGTAATGAATCAATTTTTTTCAGCTTTTATACCTTCCCTGAACCTCCACGAACATTTCAAGACTAAGATAAGATAAATCCGTTCAGCTGTTCTCGAGTTTTAGCGAGACTAAGGAACAGCAATCCATTTTTATATATATAGAAGAGAAGATAATGTTTTAACTTACCGAGCAGAATTTCGACGGTGCATTCACTCATGTAGTCATGACAGTCGAACTCCCCGCTTTCCTTCTTAAGCTTGTTGACCACAGCTCGTGAGTTGGCATTGAAAAGGTCGATGAAACTCTTCAGAACGTTCAAGTGGAAAGTGGGAGCGATCAGTTTTCGGTGGGAACGCCATTTTTGACCTAAATAATTATTAATATTTAAGAAAAAAACAAAAAAATGTACCATTCCATTTAAATTGGGTATCTCGTCAATGTCCTTGAGATCGATAAATGGAAAAACCCTTATTGTTTACACAGTATTGCTTATTTAATATTCATCTTAATACGTATATTTAATAAATTCAGACCTGAATAACAAGATCGTATATAAATATTGCGTATTAATATTTGTTTTTAATATTACTCGCTTATAATTTAACTGGCTTCGACTAGGAAGTTGATAATTACGGTCAATAATTCAAAATATGTTAAGATTTACCGGTACTGATGAGAAGGCCATCTCCAAGCCAGGGTTTGAAGAACCTGTATTCTTCTGCTTTGTCGATGTGAACGTGACTGCTCAGAATAAGCTCGACATCTCGTGGGTCATACAAGAACACGAGGAGCCTGGGTCCGATCCATATTCTTACTGCAGTCTCATTTTTAAATTCTACACTCCTCTTCATTATATTTTTAAAGATTTCTGCACACAAAAATATCAAGTTATATATAGACTCTGATATGCCGTTTTTTTTTTTTTCAGAGCAACATTTTTCATTATTATTTTACCTTCCACGAACATCAGACTTTTTTTAATTAAAAAACTGAAAGCAATAATTATTGTGCAATATAATTTCTTGTCTTACCATCGGAACCTCCTGTGAATTCCAAAGCATTTCCTATGAGGGGGTAGCCTGGTGGACCGGCTATCTTTTCTGCAAGTTCATACATATGCCTCCTGGACATGCGCCAGTATGTGTACCATAGCAGCAGCGCTGGCACCAGCAGCACATAGAACAGGTTAGTGGCTGCCCAAGTGCTACTTGCCGCCACTGTTTCAGCAGCAGCGTAACTCATCTTGGTTATCTAGGTGACAATGTTGTAGAATACTTTAAGTTGTTTTTTCCTCATTACGTTGTTTTGTAGACAACTATTATAAATGTTTGGATATAAGAAATGTGACATTCATTTTGATTTTTATCCTCAACTTTACAGAATTTGCATAAAATAATTCTTGAAGACGTGTAAATAAAAGGTCTAATCAATTTTTTGCTCGAACAAGATAAAGGTTATTGGTATTCCCATATAATCTTATCATAAAATGTTTTTGAATGTAAAAAAAATTTATTATACTGATATACTATGTATTTCCGATTAAAAATAATAATTGATTAGATGGGACGAAACTTCTAAGTATGCATTGGATTCACCGTACGGGTGCGGGTTCCATCTCTTTTGCAGGGAAAGGAGATTCAACAGTGTTTGGGACTTGCGACCCAGGTTTATAAGTTTAAGGGGCCTCTATCTAACAAGCATTAAACGCTCACCTCCACCATCCAAGCTCTTCTCTACCTAACCAAAGTTAAAAAGAACCTACTACGTCTGCCTTTGGAGAGCGTTCCAAAAATAAATTGATATTAGTTATGAATATATAATATTAAAAATTATTTGAAAACGTGTTACTTTTAAAAGGATTCAAAAAAACTTTTAGAAATTATTGACGGACAAATTTTGGGAGACACAAACACGAGTACATAATTTTCTTAAATTGACATCGATATACGCTTAGTCATTTCTAAATATGCGAATATTATTAAATAGATGTACTAATAAATATGTAAAAATATTGCGAGTTATTTTGCAGTTTTATTAAAAAGAATCAGATCAAAAATAATAATTATTAATTATGTATATATGTTGTTCCGGCGTTAAAGGTCAATAAATAAATACAAAGTTTTTGTTCTGATATAAAATTTGGTGTTTAAGAGATATTTATTTGATTTTCCTGCTTGTTATATTATAATATTAAAAAAAAATAGAAATTAAATGTACTTTAATTTTTCTTTAATTTTTACAGTAACTATTTTAATATTTAATTTACTTAGAAAACTGCTATTGTAATTGAAAAATATTTAATTATTCAATCAGTATACCTACATTTTGATTAATTCAATGATGATTAACATGTAACACAAATAAAAAAACAATGGAGATATTTTTATTATCATTCTTAATTATTTACAATTTAATTTTGTTCTTTAATTTGTATTCAAATTGTACATTGAGGGGCAAAAAGCAGAATTCATGTTTTATTTAATTACTGTTACTTGATGATGCAGCTTAAAAGATCTTTATGATTTTTAAAGGCACAATTTTTTTATAAAACATATAATATGTAGATAGTGAAATTAAATTATAACACTTCGTTATGGTAATGAGGTTGATAATAAAATCAAAATATACCTAAAAAAATATCTGTAAAAACTAGTTTAAAAAGAACTTATTGAAATTTAAAATTGTGACTGAAAACCATTGAATAATTATTAAGCGAATAACATAAAAGCTGTGCGTATAGGGAATGTAGATAATTATATTCTTTAATTATTTTTAATATTTTTAAAATATTAAATTTAAAAAATATATATTTTCTACTAAAATTTTTCTTAATAATTTATTACACAATAATCTACAATATTTTATAAAGAATTATAAATAAAAAAAATTATAACACAAGAATTTAGAACAAAAACTTTGTTTTGAAACACTTTCGTCATAACACAAAATAATATATATTTTTATCACTGTACAAAATGAGATCCTCATTAGAAAATGTAACCCCTACCTGTGTAACTCGACACCGTGACTGACGAACACTATTTAACTTAAATCAGGACTTGGGCTTAGCCGCTACTCACCACTAACTATTTACGGAGCAAGCGCGCAACGAACTATATACGTGATGCTGACGTCACTTGCAAGGCGTAAAGAACACACACGTCCGATTGTCTTATTCCTTTATAATAACATTAAGACTTTTTTAATAACAAAAAATAAATAAACCTCTAATTTGAAACAGGTTTGGCTCGGATTTGACTCAATACGATATCTGAAACCAGTTTCAGATGTTTAGTTTGTTGACAAATAAAATAATTTTTATAACAGGGTGAGTAAAAATATATTTAAGAAAGAACGAAATTTAAGCTAAAGAAACTAAAATATTATGATCGTAATTCACCAAGTATATATTAATTGACGAAGCTTTTACTAATGTAATATAAGTTTTTTAAACAAAAGCTCAGGATTTTAAAAGACAAAAGTGTATTTAGTTATATTTCGACAAAAAATATTAGATTATTATTAGATTTTTGGACTATTCGATTCCTTTTATTATAATCGGAGGATACTGAGGATCTACATAATATTTGGTCGAAAATTGAACATGTAAATGTCTTGCTATAGGAAAATAAAAGATAAAATACATAGTAATATTGTAATCAGAATGATAAAAACGAAGATTATGGTTCAGAAAAACTAATTCTTCTGAAAATTTAAGTAGATATACTATATTTTCTTGTAGACCATTCCAGTTTCAAAGTAGAGACTTTTAAGAATTGTTTTTGAATATCGTTATACCTAAGAACGAAATTATTAAAACTGGGACTATAACTATGGATGGATAAAGAAGAGAGAAGAGGAACAATACAAAATCCCGGGGAATATTTGTGCATCGGCTTCCAGACTGGACATATTTTAGTATTTTTGATGAGCTTACAGTTCCTTGGGAAACCAACATCCCCAAAGGCCATACCATCAATATCAATAAATATTAAGAGCTCACTAATGAACTCATTTGAAATAGGTTCGTCCTAGATTTCTACGAGGAAGAAGTAGGAGCGAGAGGTATAACGGCTAAATCTCTCTACAAGCTACTGAAAGATTTGAACCTGTCCAAAACTATTATCAATCTATTCTTGGAACGTACTTCGAAGGCAACCCTGATAGGTTTGTTTCAAATTTGGTTACATAGAAAGAGGAGCTTAGAAAGAGGAGCTTAGGAAGTCCCAGGCACTGTTGAAGTTCTTTTCCTTGCAATGCCATGAACGCGGCATACGATGAATACACTGACTGCTAAGAGTTTTCGTCTTATAAACAATTCTTTTCTCCATGCGACTAATCGGCCTGTTATTGACAAGATATGCTTATACAAGCTCGAGTGAGGATATTATCTTGCCGTGATCCGCAGTTTCTTGTAGAAAAATAGGCCTACTCTGAAAGCATTTTCAGAGTATCCAGAAGTTTACTTGACTATCATGGAATGCAATCATGAGGTTTCAGTGGGTAAAATGTATCTTATTTAAACTCTACGCTCTCTTTGAGAAATCGAATTTTCAAATATTTCTGTTAAAATAATGTAACATAGTAACATATGGAGCTGATTTCTCAGCAGGGTAACAAATTTTGTACAAATATGGTCAAGGAAACAGAAAAATCACATAAAAAGGTAACAAAAAAATAAATTATATTATCAACCGCCTTCCGCTCAAAAAATTTAAACAAGGCACGTATATTTTAGAGTTTGAGGCGTTAATAAATAATATTGAAGTCAGTATGGTATGTAGTAGTTTAACTTTATTTTTAGTTTTTGACAACCATTTTCACCTATAATCAAAATGACATATATTAAATAATTAACTCTAGGATCTATATGTTTTCTAGTAACGTTTGAAGTAAGGTTTCAACGATTACGGAGTTACCGAACGAATGTTAGGAACGAATGCTCTTTAAATATGACTTATTAACACATTATAAAGTAACTTTTTAATAGTTTTAATGCTATTCATCATGATCGCACTTCAATATAAAAATGAGTTTATGGCTATAATATAGTGTATACTACTATAGTTAGTGTATAAATATTTTTATTTCGGAAACAAAATACAGTTAAAATTTTCATCTTCTTATATTATTTATGTATTTTGATGTAACTTTTTTTTATTGATACAATACAAAGTCAATCTGTCTTAATAAATTTTCAATCAGTTAGCTGTCTTAATATTCTTACATGTTCCACGATGCTTTATTTTTTACTCTCATTTATGAATACATCTATTCGGAATAAAGTTATTCATAGGAAAGTATTTTTTTATATTGAATAAAACTTATATAGAAAAAAAGCAATTATTTTTTTTGTATCATGTGTGTTAATTAATTAATAACTTAGGAGATGTTTGCAAAATATTGAATATAACAGTAAGTCATATATATTCTTTTTCCATATACAAAATAATAATTAAACCAATATGGGATTTTTTTCCTATATGTACTTCCTTACACATATTCTATTACAGTTACAAAGAAAACTTGAAATAAAGTGATAACTAAAATGTTTGTTACATTTCATACCCCATCAAAATACATTTGAAGTTATAATTATGGGTATAAAATGTTTAATGGATTTGCTATATTTCGTTTTGCTCATCATGACGTGTGTACGCTTCGCAAAAACTAGTTAGTAGTTTATAACTGGATATGTTCATAGAAGATTCCAGAACACTTCGATTAAACTTTAACAAAGATTACACAAGACCTTCGAAATAACTATGTATAATGTTATCAAATAACTTCCTCAAAATGTAAATATGAATAGGAAGTACTGATGAGTAAAGCGGTTTTTAATAAATTATTTTTTTTTATACAACCATATAATTCAGATCTCTATTTCGTAATATAAATACAAATCAATATTTCCAATACTTTGCCGTCAGTTCAGAGAGTATAGGAATAATAGGCAATATTAAATGATGTGTCGAGTATTTGTAAAGTATTTTTATTATGACTATAAATTGCTTAATTGCATAAATTAATACAACAATGTTTTTGTTATTAAAAATATATCATACTTTATTGGCTTCGAACAAAGAGAAGTGATATAATTAGTTGGTAGAGCCTAGCTGTGCTTAAGTAACTACAGGTCAAACATAGGCTGGCTCGGCCGGGGAAGTACCACCCTCTCACAGAAGATTGGCGTGAAGTAGTCATTAATGACTGCGTTTCGTCCGATGAGTGGGAGAGCCAGTTGCCCTTTCTCTTTTCCCAACCCTTTTCCTTCTCTTTCCTCTCCTTCTCCCAAAAATAAAGTGATAAAAGTACATATAAAAAAAACAATAAGAAAAAGAAAACAATTGTTTGACACCACTGGAAATATAGACATAATCTACGGTGTGAGACAAAAATATTTCATTTTATATGTGAACTATTAGAAATTATATGGAATTAACTTAGTAAATGAAAAAAAAGCAAACTTAAGTTCATCAAAAAAGACGCTGCAATTAATTCATAAATTTTTTCATATTATACATTATCTTTTTCTGAAACTCTTTGTCTTCACCGTTTTTTGTTCCTTAATCTTTACGTCATATGTTTAACAAAAAGTGATTATTTTTTGTTTGAATAAAAAACAATGTTTATCATTTCGTTAGTTATTAGAATTTATTGATTGCATTACAGTATACAAGAAAAACCGGTCCAATTATAAAAATTTAAATACTTACATAACATAATATATACGATATCAAATTGATAAACAGATTAAAGGAATGACAACTTTATTGTTTTTTAAGAGAACTATAATTATTATTGTCAAAATAATATGAAAACAAGGCAGAATTAATCAAAAATATGATTTAACAAATAAAAAAATTGATTTGACAACTGATAATAAAACTAGACAAAATCAAAAAACATTGAAAATCTAACACATTGAAAATCTAAAATATTAAATATTACCAGCCTTACACTATATTATCGTTCCGCCAAACTGGTTCACAACTCCGATATAATTTTAAGACTTACACGTACAAAAAGGTTTGGAACAAAAAAACTTTTTGGGATTCACGCTTATGTAGTTAAAGAAAAAAAATAATAATGTACATATATATGTAACTTGCTGTTAGCCATTTTCAAATCAGGTTTAGTTACAGGTAAAGTCCGAACCTTATTGATGTGCAACTCTCTAAAAAGTAATAGTTACAATCATATTTTATTTTGGACAGTGATAAAACATGCACTCCAACACTTCCACAATGATTGCCATAATCTCTTAAATAACACGGCGAACAATTAGGGAGACTGAAAATTCTGAATTTGCATCCAGAGTCATCCCCTGATATGAAACAGAAATAAAAAAGTGTTTTAAAAAATATTATTACACTCGTCTAATCATATTCTATCAACCATGATGGGTTGTTATACTAAATTGAATCGCGTGCCACGGCCACATCCTCTGTCAAATAAGGTTCCCCACGTGCGTCTTACTCACGACTGGACGCCTTTACGGCCACCCTAAACACTCTCTTCCCAATCTCACGTGGACAACACAAATATTACTTCTTAAATGATTCACCTCAAAACCAACTTGTACAGACACACATTAATTATTCATACAAAAAATTCTGAATGCTTTTGCCACTGAAAATAAAAAAAATCTGAAACAGTAAATATTTTTAGGAATTTCGTCAAAGCTTATTATCGGTCGAAGAAATGTTAAATGGACTTGTCATATAATATATATGTGTGTGTATATACATATGTTTCCTCTTCATGTAGTAGTTTGGGCTAGTATGTATTTTTATTATAATACTGCCACTATTGTTTTCCGTGTCAGTATATTCCAAATTCAGGTTGTCTGAAAATCATTGCGTTTTGGACATTAGCCTGTTACATACAAGCATTGATTTAGCATTAATTAAAATAAATACGAGTCTAATCTTATACTGGTGTAGGTACAAATGGCACCTACTCTCTATCTCCCTTAGGAGATTAAATGACGGTCATGCTTTTCACAGCCACGTGACTTAGCAAAACTACTCAGAATATTAACACACTTTTCACTACACTTAAAATGCATATACATGTTTTACGTAAACAATTAAGTATTTTCAGTCAGAAATTAGCGTAATTTCTCGCGCAAATGCTTGAAGGTTAATGAGGGGATCAAAGTTTTATTAATTAATTGTCTTTATAAACTGCTACTTTATAAGTGGAGTTTATGGAAATGTACATTTACACGTTCTATTATTTGCGTGTTATATAAAACGCGTTGTCTGATACTCCGGTCACAAGAACTACTTGTTTCAATAACAAGATATTTCCGTTAGATTAATCTATTGAGGTAAAGAACATTAATTTACTACTAAGAACCATTACTTAAAGTTAAAAAGCGATGTTCCTTAAATATTTATTCATGATTTTAAGATTATTATTTTTTGATCAGAAATAAACGAAATAAATCAGATTGTTATAATATAATGAATGCTTATAATTGAATAATTTAACTGAATGAAATATTAAATAGTTAGCAAGAATAATAAAATTAAAGTGGGAGATGTAAAAGTGTTTTGTCGAAAATTGTGGTGGTATAGTAATAACTATTAGATTGAGTAAATATTATTTACAATCATATTAAATTAGAACTATCCATTGAAATGGTTTGTTTAAAAGACAAAATAATATAATTATTTTATTTGCAATAAACATATTTTATGTCTCAATATCGTTTGTATATCACAATTCACAACTCAATGTACACGATAGTTGATTTTTATGTTTTACAGAGAAAACAGAACTTTAAAATGACAAAGAAACAATAATAACATTATTATAATTATATTAATAAACTAAGACTAGTGCATACATTTTTTTTAAATGAAACTTATATTATTTTGATTCTATGCGTATGTATAAGTTTCATTTAAATGAATACTTAGATATCATAACCCATTTATTACTTTGTAAGTCTAATACATTGGTGATGGCTGGAAAATATGGATTCTACGAAGAATGTAGGCATTGGAACGTGTATTTTTTATTCATTTGCATTTTAATTGAGTATTTACAATTTAGCTAATTGCATTATGTTATTATACACAACAAATAGTTATTAAAAAGTTATGCTATAGTAGCTTGAAAATACATTTATATTTTATATATTGGTTTTTAAGTGTTCGTAAGTATTATACAGAGTTATGTGTATAAAATCAATGTACATGCATAGATTTGTCACATCATGGCCTTATATAATAAAACGTATAAAGTTGTGCATAAAAATGTTATCATAATATTATTGACTTGTTGATATTGAATATAAATTACTATAATACAATGTTCCGGTTTCAACAAGTCGAGACGTCAGAGTGAGTCTGGGTCGCTTCAAACTCTATTAAAACTAGCCATGACCGTGAATTCGAACGCGGAATTTAAGAAAAACAATATTAAAGAATAAAGCTCCTGTTTATTACGTTAGTTGTCTGCAGTGAAAGTCCCATCAAAATTTAACCAGCCATTTCAGTTATAGACAACAAACAAACAGACAGAAAATTTAAAAATATGTTTGTAAGTGTATCGTACCTAAAATATACAAATGAGCATAATAAAAAGTGATACATTGTAAATGTTTCTAAATACATGAATAATTGATTGATGAACTTTAAAATACGCTTTCAAACAGTTATAGACGAGATTATAACTTTAATAAAATATTTTTTTTACTTACAGTCATTGAATGTCTATTAACTATGAACAAAGTAGTAAAATAATATTAAATAATATTTTTCTATGTACATTGTAAGTCAGTGTTGGTCTAGTGATTAGAGGCCTGCCTCTCGTGCATGAGGGCACGGGTTCGAAACCTGGCAAGTACTTATGTGATTTTTCCGAGTCATATGTACATACTTTCTAACAGTATTTAGACGCCACTGACAGACAGTGAAGGAAAACATAGTGAGGAAACCTGGACTTATAATTTCACAATTATAAGTTTGAAATCACCAACCCGTCTTGAGCGAGCGTTGTGATTAATGCTCAAACCTTCTCCATGTGAGAATAGGCCTTTGCTCAGCAGTAGACTCTTATAGGCTAATGACAACGTCAATAACGTTAACAAAATGGGATAACCGTTATTACTTTGAAATATCACACATTACAACAACAAATTTCAGAATGCAAAACTGTCAATGTCATCACCTGTCAAAAATATTTCGCTCCTAATACATAATTATCTGAATGAAAATAAAAGGTTTGTTTCTTTGTCTGTTAAAAGAAATGATATTAATGATCAATTAGGGATTAATTGATACGTATTGTTTGCAAATGAACACTAACTGTGTTAAACACGGACTATGCTACATAATTATACTTGCTTTTATCAATTTTCTTTAAACCTTATGGAATACAGCGGAATATTTTTGTATATAACTCTTAAAATTTAACCTGAGGATATGATTTTAAATTTTAAGGACGGGAAGTCAGTTTTATAATTCTTATAAAAACTTTAAAAAAATTCACGAAAAATCCACATTAGGCCCGAGCTCATTGACCTCTTCACAGTTTATTGTGCATCAAAATTATTGTGTTTCTTTTAAACTTAATATTTGGTGTTGATTCTGAACACAATATTATCATTCTCGTAAATATACATGATATATTAATTTATGAAATATGTTTATAAAAAAATTTATTATACCTTAATATATTATTTATAGTAGTGATGCCTTGAAAATTTTAAAATGAGATAATTTATAGATTTGAGTTACTTAAAAAATTTATGAACTTATTCGTATGACAATTTTGTGAGTTTAAATAGTATCAGCAAAACTTAAAAAGATGTTTTCTTAAAATAAGTTTAAGGAAATAACCACAAAAATAATGTAAACTTTTAGAAATGTTATTAATATTTTAAAAATTTCCACTTAAGATCTCCTTGATATCAATTCTCAGAACCACAGTTCGTTATATTAATTTTCAATGCATATGACATTGAATGACAAATTGGAATTATACCAGCGTTTAAAAATTTTTTCGTATTAATAGCTTAATAAATTAATTGTATTAATAATGAACCGTAAAATAAAAAATAAAACAAAAAGAACCAGCCGACCGGTGCCCGTGTACGATAACACAGAAGAAAAATTAATCAAAAGTATCGAAAATGAGAATAATAACACAAATTTAGATAATTTACTAACAGATTGCGATGATACGAAAGCTGATATAGAAGAGACACAAGAACAGTATGAAACTAGCGAAGCCTTCAAATCTGAGGTTGAAAGATTTATTGAGATATCAAAATATTTCTCCAGTCCTTTGAGGAAGACAGCTTCTTACGTTTGTGAGAACAAGTTGGTGTCATATCCAAATCCTTATCGCATCGAGTACAGGCGAGGCGGCGTCACGACCCAACACATAAGATTCTGCAATCAGACCTTAGAGCCGGTTTACGTGAAGCTTTACAAATGCGTACCAGTCATGGAACAGTTCAAATTTATAAACCTGTCTCAATCGAGATGCAAGAGAATACCTCCGGGGCTCACGTACAGCTTGGGTCTCATTTATGATGATCTGAACGAGAAGCCGTGCTGCAATGGCAAGTTAATATTCGTCGCATCCAGAAAAACCACGACGCCTTGCTATCAAATCTGTGAAATCGATTTACACATCAATGCCCAAAAAGTAAGACTTGTAACCATCTAACAATTAACCTATAATACATATATCTTCAAAGAAATAAAAGCATTGCGTAATTTATTTTGATAAAATAACAACATCTGAATCTAACAAAAAAATTATAGCAAAATCTTCGACAATCTGAAAAGGATTCTAATACTAGGTATTAGGTAAGATATTTTTAGAAAAACACCATCACCCATTACCTCTGAGTGTATAATGTATATATTATTGTTATAACTTTTTTCTTAAACAAGAAATATTTTTGCACCAGGTTGTATACTTAAATCTTATAAATAATTTCGCTGCATCAACACGATTACGACTTGATTATTTACTTCACTATATTCCGAAAATTATCATCTCTAATGTAACCATTTTTTAATTTTGTAATTATACATACAATATATAATAAATTTAATAATTATATTTGACGAAAGTGTCACTGTATTCACCCTTGAATTTCCACAAGATCATACTTACAGATTCTGGTAAATAAGATTTTGCTCGTAAACTGTCAAATTATATATCGCAGCTAATCCGATCAAATCATTTTATTTCAAAACATGTTTTTTTATATAAACCAAAAAAATAACATCTCAATCATCTTATTGGCAGATTAGTTTAAAACTTTGAGAACTTTGAAAAAATATTTTTTGATTTTTTAACAAAAAACGAATGATACTTTTGTCCACCTATTTAGTGGAATTAAATGAAAGTAAAAACTACTTTTTATGTAACGAAAACAGTTTAGTTTCTGTAAATAATCTTTTACATTTTTTGTTTTATATATGTTTTTTAATAAATGGTAATTTAAATCGAGGTTATTCCAATGTCACGTATCGGATATTTTGCACCAGCCTTCTTAGTTGCAATATTATTATTACTAGTTATACATATATGTATATATAATTATTGATTAGGAAAGAATATTTTTTTGTATATATCACCATTAAGTTTTAACATGAGTTAATAACATTAACTATTTATATAGATTTTTATTATGTTAGTAATCAATACGTAAATATATGCGAGTGTCAAAAAGTCACTCAGCTTGTAGTTCAATATAGTACACAAATAGTTTGAGACAAGATTCTAATGAGTAGTTTGAAATGTCACATTAAAGTTGTTGTGCTTAAATGATTCATATCCGAGCGACTACCTCGTGTAGGCTGCAGGAGGTTGCGAAGTTCAAGTATGCAAGGAAAACCAGTAGCAGAATAACTTTAAATGCATATATAACTTTACTATGTTGCTAACGACGTATGTTTGGTCAATTCTAAAAACTAATAGATGGTTTGCAGGATTTTAAGTACCTATCACCTTCTTTGTATGCCTAGATGTTTTTTCTATAAAAAGGACTTATGGAATTCAACTGAAAAGCAAGAGCATAAACATTAAATATTTCATCACTTATTTTACTATTACTTATATACCGAAAATAAAGTATGGCTGTTACTGATCTTTCTATTCACAAGATGTCACAACAATGATTTCAGCTAGTTTCTGTCATCTCATTTTATTCTGTTTGAAGACAAAACTATAACGAAATAAGAATTTTAAATATATATTAATTATATTTACCGTTTGACGTAAATAAACCTCAAATTTGTTGCATTCCTTGGTAAACAATGTTTGCACTAGCACCTTGTTCAGATAAGAATCAATTTTGTCTCACATTATGGAATTGAAATGTCATCAATGAATATTTTATACCTGTTCTAGTATATAAACACACATTTACTTGTAAATTGTAGTATTTATTCATTATTTTTTCAATTGTTCCTTATTAATGATGCCGTGTATATTTAATTAACTTTCCAATCACTAAAATAACATAAAGTTAGTAAAGCAATACATAGATGAACTGAAGACAATTGCTTATAATTTGTGTAAAGGAATTTTATAATTTTTAACTTAAATATAATACATTTTATTTGATTAGTCCTAAAGGCATCAGAATCATACTAATTCAAACTACTTATAATTTTATATTGACTTGTATAGTTAATTGTATTTAATTGTTGTTTATTCTCGACCTTAAATAAACCCGCGGAAGAGTATTTTTCCGCTGTTTGACGGATGAATTTCACCTCGCCGATCGCGTATACGAGTTCTTGGGGAAAAACAAATTGCCTTTCATGACGCAAAGAGATATTTAGACACAATAAATATATGTTAATTTGACTTTTCTCTAAATATATTTTTTACTTTTAAAATGAAATATCTTCTTACGTATGCAAATTCTTAATCAACAAATAACGGTCATAGTGTTCTAACATTTTATAATAAAAGCATATATTTTTTTATTTTGTTTTATATTATTAATGCTACTACATAACGACATTACTATTAAGTTGAAATATGAGTTTAACAACCTGTTAGATACTAACCTGTTTAGATATTTGGTGCAATATTGAAAAAATATATGACCGAATCTACTCACTACATCGTTCCTCTTTATGATCGTGAAATCAAAATGACGTGTTAAATCAAATCTTTCCGCAGTAATATTGACTATGGATCTCTTTTACACTATTATACATGCGTATGCAAATTTATCACCAGGTTCCGCTTGCTGATTCTAGAATTATTTAATATAATGTCATTACTAAATTTCAGCAAGCAACCAATTCGAGGGCAAACAACCGGATATTTTGTGCATGTTAAATAATCGTAGGATTCTTGACATGAATTAAAAATAAGGTTAAGAAGTAAAAACATTTTTTTTTTTCAATTAAAACAGTACAGTAAGGATGTCTTGCAAGTTCCAGGACACTATCAAGGTCTTTATCAAACCGGTTCAATTCACTTCGTCCGCGGCTTCTCACTCTGCTAGAACGTGTCCAATGACGTCATTACAATTAAAATGGCTCGCGTCGCGGTTTCTTGTTTTGGGCATTTCATATATTACCGAATAATTGTTATACTCAATTAAAAATTATCATATTTGTGTTTTTTTTATATTCTTTGTATATTTTTAATGTAATATTAAAATTATATGAATTTTAAATCATTTAAGCAATAGCTAATGTATATAAAAAAAACTTATTTGTTACATTGTTGGTTCGGTTTTTGTATTTTTTTTTATTATTTTCAAGTCAGTTTAAAAAAATATTATGATAATACTATGTATAATTAGAAATAGTATGAAAAAAATATACTTTAATTTAAAAAACCTTTATGAATCTATTTATCGTTTTTATAGACATATTTACTACAGATTTAGAATATTTATATGAATGTAAAATAATCTGGAAGCGTTTTTTAATACAATGAAGTATGACTTTAATTTTTTGCAGCTTTCAAATATCTTTTTAGTTGTTTTTAATTATATTTAAAGCATTGCCCTTGATCCGAAATGCATAAAGTAGAATAACAACTTGTGGAATTACTCTAGAACATTATCATACAAAAAAATTAATTGTTCCAAAGTAAAATCCGTCTGTGCATTTAAATTATTTATTGTTGTAACTTATTTCGATAATCGAAAAAAAAAATCTGAGTTCTGAGAAGTTTTTTTAAATTTACTTATTAATTATTATATTCAGTTAATACATAATAATACTGTAATAATAAGAAAGTGTAAGAAAAAAATTACAATATTTTTTTTAATCTTGCGACACATAATAATAATCAATATTTTATTTACAATTTGTTAAAATCGGGCTTCTCTTCATAATATAGGGACTTAGTTCAAGTTGACCTCGTTGACTATATAAGGAGAGTCCACAGTTTTTCATTCACAAACCTTTACACATTACAGTATATATGTAGCTTATTGAATGAAATACGAGAAACGACGCGTATGGAAAGTTACGATGCAAACATGGACTAGGGGTACTGAAAATACCACATTAAGAAATATTATGAAACAAGGAAAATCCCAGTTATAAATAACTTTGTTTGTTTTATACTTTGCAAAGACACTGGCACTTCTTTTTATTAAAAGTTATATTATGATTAAAACTATGTTTTAAATTTAATTTAACACTTATATAATTTAAAACATTTTAAATTTGTTTAAAATAAGTTTTTTTTCAAAATGTATATAGAATTTAATATTTCGGACACACGAAAATTATCATATCTATGTATTTCTGATTTTCAGATGAATAAAGTTAACAGGCCTAAGGTATAAATAAACATAACTAACATTAGATATCGATAAAATCGAATAAGCCAATTTTATACTTAAAAAATATCTTTCTAAATAATCAGATGTTAGTGGAAAAAAACATGTATTTATTTACATGTTTTGTTCGTTGAAGACGTATCCTACACGCCATAAATGTTCAAGATACTTCTGAGACATCACACATAGCCAGCTAGCCATAGAATGTTCTCGTTTTACTATTAAAAAACCATATCCGCTTTATAATACATTAAAAACAAACCGTGCTATTAATCAAGCCCGTATTTTTCCTGTTTATTTTTTGTAAGTAATTTTAATTTTCATTTATGTAAGCCAAAGTCCGTTGTCTAAAAAATATATTTATTAAAATATTTCCGTTGCGTTTTTTTTATTTGATATAATAGGCATTTATTCCTTAATTATTCTGTTATTTTTAGCAAGACTTTCATGAACTAGTTATATTTAACATAAATTACATTATCTCTATACAAGTGATTCAATTCTGATTTTGATTGTTAAAAACTGGACACGGTGAGCTTCTTATCGGTTAGTTAAATACAGTTTAGAAATAATAATAATCCTATATATTAATAAACCCAAATAAAAAAATACAATGTACATATTTATATTAATTTTGTGTATATAAAGTGTTTCTAATTCTAAGGCTTCAGATTATTTACTTATACATGTAGGTATAGCTACTATGGCGAAGGATTCACGCTGAAACTAAATATATTTGTTTTATAAAATGAATGTAAATATAGAATAATAAATTATAATTCTAAAACTGATCCAGTGACTTAATAATGGTATGTATAATATATTACAAAACAAAAAATAATTCACCGAATCAAGACAGTAAAAACCAAGCATCCGTAGAAATAGTTAACCAAAGAATCTACTTAATAAATATTTAAAAGAAAGAAGTCAAATCTTCGAGAAAAACGTGTGAAATAACAGTAAAGAAGGTGAATCGCTTTTACGTGACAATGCCTTTTTTCCAACAGCTAATAAAAAACAAATTTATGTGTAAACTAAAACGTCTTAAAGTCCATAAAAAGAAATAATATTTTAAAATATACATTAATATCAAATATCAATTATTTTTCCCTTTAAAATATGGCGATAATTTAGTACGTTTTGTGTGTAAAACTAATAGATTTCGTTGTTTATAAACATCTTGTGTAAGCCGTTCCTGATATTAAAATTCTTCGTCTCCTGTCATTTTATTCTAGCAATATTTTAAATTGCTTCTATAATCACAATTGCTATATTTTTCTTTCAGGCAAAACAACATTGGTCTATTTTATTTATCTATTTTATAATGTTTTAATGTATATGATATACATGGTTGTTTATATATTTATAAAATTTAATATGAAAATTTTATTGACAGCTCCCTTTGTTTTTAATCTCCATTTATAACAATTGAGTATAGTCCGTAAGACTTAAGCTGAGCTTTGCATTTGTGTGGGTAAAAGTAAAAGTAGAGTTAGTCGAAAAACTTTTGGAATTAAATTTTATTATAATTTAAATAGATACGTAACATAAAGGCGAGTAACATACGTAACTATTCTAGATTAAAAATAAAATAAGCAAAACTTGTTAACGCCAGATGGAAATATTATGGAAAAAAAATATTAATTAATAATTTTTTTGAAATAGGTTTACGATCGAAATGTTTACGTGGTAACGTCTTATTGGTGATTTAAGTTTTTGGGAAGTAAGGAATTAATGAAGATAGCAATTTTTTCAAATTTTAAATTACATCTATCGTTTTCAACGAAAACTTAACCGCACGAGAAAATCTCCATTCGTTTGTATGCCGCTAGAGTGAGAGAGACGGAAGATCGGTCCACTCACTCGAACGCTATGCCTGCCTCCGCTCCTGAGGTTTCCGCGTGACAAGTTTCACGGAATGACTGGCAGCGCTCGAGATGAGATGGGAGATCGGTCCGTCTCTCTCTCGTTATACCTGCGATCGCGCTCGTGAGGTTTTGGTGTGACACAAGTTTTTGAACATGTCACCCGACTAAAACGATTTTAAAGACGTTATCACGTCAAAAACTACAAATTCTTCTTCACTTGACATATCGTTTTCATAATTTGATGTTGCTACCAGTACAAAGGGTGAAGTGCGGAAGGTGCAGTGCGAAGTAAAAGCAGAATAAACCGGTTAAAAACTAGAAAATAACGTTCCATTCAAAAATTTGACATCACACATACACTATCCGTGTACACTCACACAAATGCAAAGCTCAGCTTAAATCAAACGCACTATACCCTAATATCAAGATATAAATAATTGAAATTCTAATATACTACAACTTATGCTGATACGAATTTCAGTCAAAGTATACTTTCCTAAAAAGTATTTTCATTTCATATGTTTAATTCCTTACGCACATAAAAAATCGTTATAAATAAATGCTTTCGTATGGGAATATTATAAACACTGATGAAATTCTGAATACATAAAATGATCGCATCATAGATCCTCAAGCTTGTGTTAAAGACGACTATTGTTATGATTAAAACCATTGCTTTTGTTTCTGTTTAAAATTAAGTACAAAGCGTGCAATAAAAAATTGATAATAAATATTACTTTAAATATTATATCTGTAGTCCTAATAAAGAAAAATATTCTTATAATCCTACAATTATTAAATGATTACAAATGTTCTTTAAATAATAATAATATACATAAATCCTAAATGCAAGTCTGAATTGTAGAGTAACTGCTTTATCTTGCTAAATATGAAAACTTATTTAATTACTATAAATATCACAGGTCTAAGCTATTATTTATTGAATCACCATTAAAATTGATTTAGTCTACTAATTGAACAAATAACTTGTACTATCTTTATTTTAAAATATTCTAAAAGACACATTCTATGTATTGTAAGATTGAAAAGAAAATTTCCTGTCTTAAGAGAAAACACCTCGTGCATAAACAATGTATTTGAAGCAAGAATCGCGTGTTACGCTTAATATAAAACGTATTTTACTTTGTGTAATCAAACTTGAAGTCGAACGCTTTAATAATAATTATTGAGTTTTAATTATAAATGATATATCTTTTTCTGTATCTATTTTACAGTATAGTAATTTTTAAAGCAAATTTAAAGATCACAGTTTAAAATAAATATCACCTACTTAGGTAGGTACATATTATACTCTTTGTAATTTGAACGAAAAGCGAATTGCTGGAAAGAATTGGCTTAAAAACATAAGTTTGAAAATATATAGGTACACGCTAATATAAAAATTATACTCATGACTATTATAAATATAGTATATATAAATTATGAATAGCTATATTAGGTAATTTTTATCAATAATCCTACGTAAAGTGGTTATTGTACATTTTTGTTTATTATAAGTTTTGTACCACTAAAGAAACTACCATAGAAACTGCATATTGTTTGATAAAATTTTAGTAAGTATATCTGAAATTGTTTATTCACTGTATGAAATATCTAACATCGAATATCACGTGCCTGGAAGACATTAATCTTTCTGCAGCTAGTAGATTGATTAACCTACGAAGTGACCAACGGCTAGGTAAACCACTGTATTATGTTTATTTGAGGAAGCACACACCTTCTTCTTTCTTTGAGTAATATTAAGTCAGGTTAATGATATAACGGACCAGGTCGCATGCAAAAACTAGTTTAATTATAAATCGTATTTACGTTGTTGGTCCTAATAAGTTTTAGGATCATAAAATTTGCGGAACAGTCTCCTAAATTAAGGCAAGGCAAGAATTTCGGAGAACACTTAAGCCTTGTTTATAGTCCAGATAAAACAGACTCTGTGATTTTCCTAAACTTGGAGACTTGTACATTCTGTGATGTTATATTGTGTAGTCTATTTTTAAGTGAGAACTCTTAAAATAATATTTTTGCTTATGCTGTTTTACACCTCTAAAATAATACTATATTTGTAATAATGAAATTTTTTTAACATATCATATTAAATCTTTGCATATTCTTTGTTTATTTTGCACAGTTCTGTTTATAGAATTTATAGTAGATAAGAATACATGAAAATAAGAATACTTGAAGTTTTATGATTAATACAATTGTAGACTCAAAGAAGAAAAATGCTATAAAAAGTTATATCATTCATTATTTATCTATATCAAAGTTATTCTCTATTTAATTAAAGTAATATTTTAAATAGCAAAATATTTGTTTAGGCCATTATTTGTAGATCACCTAATCAGATAAGCTTAACGACTGCTAGCTGTTACAAGATTATTTTTCTATAAAACGAATTTTATATTTTTATTACGTCACTGTTCACACAACTTACCATGATGGATTTGGTCCTGTCGATAGAAATTTTCTTATCACATTCCTTCCGGCTCAAGACGGACAAAGAAAGAATGAAAGCCGATATAACATATTAGTTTGACCTATATAATTAAATAAAATAAATATTTTATATAAAATTATAGTAATATAAACTCTTTTGTAAAATTGCATAAACAAATACGAACATCTCAGCCGAGAAGTCAGGTTTTACTAGAGATAATGAATCTATTACAATGACGTGTAGCAAAATTTTGATTATTACATAGTATTCAAGTAAAAAATACAAGATCATTGAGTGTTGAATTGAAACAAAGTCAGAATGCCGCTTTCTGGTAATTTCAGACGGGGTAAGGAATTGTGAAAATATCGATCTTATTACTTGTGAAACTTTATATTCTATAAATTTATTTTTCCAAAAAATGTTATATTCCTTCCAGAAATGTTGCAAGCTTTGAAAAATGCTAAAAAGGATAAACAGGAACAGAATTCTGCTGAAGAAACAACATTACATGATACCAATGATAGCGCCGTGAGTCCTGTGACCCCTGCGACAACGGTTAATGCGAATGATCCTTTTAATAAGAACAAAGAAATCGGCAAAAGAAGGAATTCATCACCGTGATAAACTATAAATATATAAATTCACGAAGCTTAAAATATATTTATTACTATATGCTTTCAAACATACACTCATGTATATTTGATGGATAAAAAATCATTTGATTTTTCATGAACGGTAATAATATTTATTATAATCGATAACAAATTTAAAGCTTTTTATATTTATTACACACTTTAATAATAAAAATACAATAAACTATGTAGTATATACCAGTGTTCATCAACTGTTCAATAGATCCAGAATGATGTGATATCAAAATATTACCTCTTTTATGTATGAATTTTTTGTATGAGACGAAATTCATATTTAATATTACAGAACAAATATATTCTAAGGTGAGTGTGATTATGAGAAAGGCAATTAATGAAATACGTATAATATAACGGCAAAGTATATTAGATGTACCAAACAATATTTGTATAGGGCACATTGGAAGTAGATTGTATATCAGCGTCTACCTGTCGACTTTTATGATAAATAACTTGGAAATGGCGATATTCCCTTTCCTAATTAAAGCATGACTCGGCTTCTTGAGCCCTTTACAAGGACAGACATCGTTTGAATTAATAGAGTGGAACTTTGTGCTCATTTTCTCGGTATAATATTTCACGGGGACAAATAGAATAAAAATTGTCAAGTAATAGATATTTGTGAAAAGACACTCACTTCGTATTGTTCTCAACATTTTTCTTTAAAAAGGAAAATATCGTGACTTTTATTTGTATCAACTCTTTGTTCGCCTTCTTAAATGTGCCGACGCGACGATTCGTTATCTTTTCATATCCTGACAGGCTGTTAATGGCACTATTGTGCCCGGGGCGCACAACCTCGGGTAAAAACTTAACTAAAACTCAATTTTAAAAGGAACAAATTTTATTTTATTTTATAAAAGGAATAATAAAAAGTTAATATATTTAAAGAATTTAAAAAGTTGATAAATAGTTTGTAAAAAAGGCATTGAAATAAGTAATGTTTATTATATCTATTATAATGTTTATTATATCTACATTTTTTTATATAATTAATAATTCTATAGATTACGCCAGTCATATTAAAATATCAACATTTTTCCAAAATATAATTTTTAATTCTTTCCAAGTTAAAAAGTAAGCTGTTTTTTATTCATAAACCTAGTAGCAATTTCCAATAAATCGAAGTCAGTGACGATATCAATGGTCTTGTAAACAAAATCGTAAAATATCCAGTATAGATATAGAGCTTCATAAGAATTGTTACAAAACAACGATGAAGAGAACAAAAGACACTAACATTTATATACTTAAGGAAAAAATCAACATGTCTTAATATTAATGCATATTATGATGTGACTAAATTTATATTAGATATGATAGCATGCGATGGTTGAATTGGAAACATAAATATTATTAGTGGTTTTTTTAAATCAGTGTCAGTTCTTACAGTAAATAAAGAACAATAAAGTTTACTAATTGTAAATATTTGTTAATGACTTAAAATAAATGATATTTCACTTTAAATATTTCACAAAATTATAGTTAACAAGAGTGTATAAGTAAATTGTAACGTATAAAAACTTATCTATGTCAAAGGTACTCATAATTCAACGCAGAAAACTGGAAGGAGTTTAGAGAAATCAAATTTTAAATAACTTATAAATTAATTTTTAACAAAATTCTCGTTCTTTCTGTTAAGTAAATATACTTCTTATAACATTGTTTCTTTAATAAAAAATTTGAATAAATATAATCAAAGTTTCACCGAAATAAAGCTGACCAATACTGAAATATCATTTATCTTACAAGTATATTTTTTCCTGTAGTTTTAACGTAGGAAACATTCTTTATATAAAACAACTTACAGGCCATTATTCATTTGTATTAATATGATAACTGTTTGGAGAACTTTAAAGGACTTTCTTGCATAACTCATAGCATATTTTTGCATTGCATTTTATACAAATTATTTGAAATGTTATGAAATAATTCTTAGGAATAAAAAAAATAGTTTCATTCTATAAACAATGTCTCGTGTATCTCGCTCATCAATATCAAATATTTATATAGTGTCAATGCATTTTGCCATCATAGGCTTTATGTGCAAACATAATTTAAAATTTACTTTACATATGCAAACTCGCGTGTTCCATTTCATACGTTGGAAATAATTTGGTAAAATAAAATTGATTCAATCCATTTATATACTAACAGAACATAAAACACTTTATAATTTAAAAGCTTTGACCTTCTTATGAGATTTACGAACATTTTTTGTTTGGCAGATTAAATATCTTCTTACGAGTAACGAGATAAGGAACTTAAAATGCTATGCAATAAAGAAGAACTATTACATTTATTTATATGCACAGACGATTTCCAAAAACTTGGCTTATGCAAAAAATTTCATGCAATTTATGTTTCGCTTAAAAAATATATTTTGCTGACCTTTTCCATCTAATATCAAGAAAGTTTTAAATACGCTTAAGAATCTTCATTATAACCGCGAACTAGAACGCCAATTCACAAAGCTAAGTGGAACATAAATTATGCCTTGTTTTACCGTGACCAAAGTACATTTAGCTTGGCTAAAAAATATACTAAAATATTCTTTGAAACTTTTTGCTCATTTTCAGACTTTATACAAATAATTTTATATTTTTTGGCACAAAAATTTTTGAAAAGATAATATTTTTTAAGAATAAAAAATAAAACACTTAAAATTTAAAAAAAAAAACGGAAAAAAGAAAGAAGAAAGAAAACGAGGCAAATGATAGAATAAAATTGTGTGAATACAACAATATTACGTTACAGATGATACTTTCGGTAAAAAGTGAAATATAGTTAGGTTGTAACTAAGAATAAGGGGCCGTGTTAATTTTTAAACATTGGTGGATTTCCTACTGATCATAATCAGAAGACTTTTAGTAAATTTCATAAACTGAAGCCAGTCGGAGTAATTGTTCATGTAATGATATGGGCATGACAGACTTCCACATCATATTGTAAACATTTCAACAAACAGGCAGTTATCACGGTCAAAGGGATGTTTCTTAAATAATAATTACAATAAAGTAGGTTACCCAGTTCTTGGTCAGTTCATGGGTTAATCCACGAACTGCAAAAAGATTAATGTCTTCCAGTCACGTGATATTTGCTATAAGATATTTCATACAATACACAAGGATTACCAGTAATCTCTCTGCAATAAAATAACACGATAAAGATAAATAATAATACATCTCATTTTAACAATAACAGTTATTCAATAATTGATTAAGATCTCAACTTTTTTGTTTACTCGCTGCGAAGAGCATCCTGCTCAGAAACTGAGAGAATATGCTCCACACTCCCAAAATAAAAACGACACATACTTCAAATGTATAAAGGTGACATGACAGTAGTTACTTAAATATAATATAACTTAAACTATAAAAAAAATTAAAATATAGTTATACTATAAAATTTAGTTGATTTACATATGTATCTTATTTGAAAAACATTATTTTAAAGATATTGCAATAACACAGATTTTAACATAAATATTATATTGATAAAATAGAATTATTAGTTAAATAAAAATATTCAAATCCAAATAGCTCAGCTTCCACGACGAGGTATACCCAAAAGGCGACCTTTTTCTTTCTTGTGTACATCATACCCAAGAGAGAACCTGTAATACATTTGTTTAGAAAAAATGCTTTTAATCAAACCTGATTAAAAATCCATGCAAGTTTTAAAACCTTGCTGTACATTTTCAAAAGGAATATTTGTCGACACGAATATGTAATAATGTTCTTAGTACTTCCATGTGTTTTTGTAATAAAAAAGTATGAATTTAATTAAATTATATTACTATAATCTCATGAAAAAATGTTTAATACTGATTTATGAATAACTTTGAACGTGTCATTTAGAAGAAGCTACGTAAATCCCCACGAAGAATACTGTTACTTTACTTAAGCTGGATTTGTTTTTATATTTACCTTGACTATGTATATTTAGTGCTAACTACAATATATAGTAATATTATTAGTCATCTGTTATTTTTTTGTCTCGTAATAACTGATTTTAAGACAAGGTTTTCAATGATAATTCATTACTTGCATGTTTTATAGTAGAGTTATATAGTATAAAATAATATTGTGGTATTGTTTTTAAAATGAGAATAAATAGGCAGTCGTGTTTTAAGCATGGATAGATACGAGTACAACACCATGATCTTTCATAAAGGAGTATTTGCAATATTGATGACGAATCAACTTCAGAATAGTTGTGGTGTCTTTATTTAAGTTACCACACTATCCAAGTTACGTGTATGTACACGGCGTTAACAGTTTATCACAGATAAATCTTCGTTTAATAAATGCTTAAATATTGAGTGAAGGAGCGAACTCGGACTAACCATTAAGAAATATTTGAGTAAAATACTTACTTAAGACTTAATAAATATTTGAGTAGTGTCCAAAATCATGTTAACTAAATGTATCAAAAATGTTCAATAAATTTAAATTAACGTAACATGCCTTAGATATTGGCCCCTTAAACCTACACTTGGGTTGCAAGTCCCAGGCACTGTTGAAGCTCCTCTCCCTACAACGCGATGGACCCAGCACCCGCACCGTGAATCCATTGAATGCTATGAGGTTTTGTCTCTTTCTGATTCAAATATTATTCTAATAGCAACCAAAACGTTTCTTAACATTAAAATGGGAAATTTTTTATAAATCTCACTATATCTCGCTATCTCTTTACTTTGTGAATACTCATTTTATTTCTTAGATTATGTAGATAATTCATTTATTTTATCTAGAATCATCTTTCAAAATAATTATAACGTTTCGGTAATATTTAATATTTTCGCATATGTTTTTCAATGTTTTTTGCATAAAAATATACTGATATATAAAAGACTAATAAAAAAAAGTTATTAAAAGTGCCAACAGTCTTAAAGAAGTTATTGTGCATTTTATGATTGTGCCTTTAAATCGTGAAACATTTAAGTTTTATTCTAAGAATACCTTTGAG